AGATAATTCTTTGATACGCATTTATAACATGGTGACAAAATTTCCACAAAACCTTTTCTTAACTGTTGTTTTCTGCAAAACTCCCACAAAAAGACAGCATACTGCCTATTTACAGAGCACAAATCCAAGTATCTCTATCCACTGACATCAGTATAAGGCCTCCTGCTGTCATTTTCCAAGTTCAGACTTTTATTTGGGCTTGAGTCAAAGAATTGAAATCAACTTTTCATTCTTTTTGTCCAGTTTAATGATTTGCATTGCAGAGATATCTGTTCATGTTTCTCTTTGCATTCACCAGCTTTGAATAATTGTTAAAGGAAGATTACAGAGCTGGGTTTTCTTGCTAACTTAGCAGAGATATAAGGTAGGAACTCTCTGCCAATGAAAATGTGTCTATTTTAAGAGTAGATGCAGATATGGTCCATGAGGGGCATATTCCTGTATAATTAGGCCTGGAAAAAAAATAAGGACAGATGCAAACAAATATAATTTTTTTCATTACTTTTTGTTGAAGCAATTTTACAGTGACAAAAAATTAATGGAAGAAAACCCCCAACATTCTTCATTTAAAAACGTGGCCATGCAAGATTCAGAAAAAGCATTTTCTAAATTTTCTATTTTTAGTTCCTTGAAATTCAAAATGGTGGCAAAAAAACCCAACCAACCAACCAACCAATCAACCAACCAACCAAAAAAACTGGTGTTCCATGACTGCAATGTGTACCGCTAACATTAAGGTCAGAATGTGACAATTAACTGTGGGGGTTTTCTATTGTTGGGTTTTTTTACAAGCCAAATAACCCAGTAATTAAATTTCTCAATTCTAATCTAATCCTCCTCAATATCTACAGCAAACAGTAGCCTCAGTGTAAAGATTTACAGCTACAGTTATGTCTCTGCTTTGTTCTTGAGCGTGTATTTACATCTGCCCATTTGCTTTCTGAAATTCTCTCTCATTTGTCATCTGAAGAACTCCATTTAAAAGGAAAACAGGCTTCAGACATGAAACACAGCTACATTCCTGAAACATGAGATGAACAACCTTTAATTCATGCAACCTTTCATTTACAGTAATGTTTAATGGATGGGCTGGTTTCATTATGGACAATGCCTCTCCCTGTCATTAGCCTGCAGAAAGGGCTAAAACTCTTAAGCATTTAAAGGAGCTCCATTTCAGGCTCTGTATTCCCTCCTCCCCCACTCCCCCACTCCCCATCACCCCTTGTGACTGCCCTTTTTCTAAGTGAATAATCTAAATGCTACACTCTGCAATTTGCACTTATTGCTGGCTTTGAGCATCGAAGAACCCTTCTGAGCACTTTTTATACAAACCCGAACAAGGTCAAAGTTGGAAAAATCTCAGCTGGTGGACTTGGATCCCATGAGCTAGTGACCATTTATAATTAATATTAATGAATGGCAGATGACAGATGTTTATTGCCTAAGCAGAAATGTGCATTGCTAAACCAGAAGTATTTAGTTTAAATCCAGAGGAACTGACTTTATTTCTTGTATGGATGTGGGGTGGTGGTGGGGTATTCCAGTGGGTGATCCAGCCCCTGCTACCTTTAAACATGAGTATGGAAACAATAATTCTTTAAAAAGAAATCCTGAGCACTGTATTTGAAGCACAACATTTGGTCCTTCAAAACATTAACTGAAGTAAGGAGAACTCTCTGTGCACTTTGGCAGCTCTGATTTGCAGCAGTAGTGGGTTTTATCCATAGAGTCTAAAGCACCAAAATTAAGGAACTCTTACCTCTGTTTTACACTTTGGGAACCCAAGAAAATAATTTAAGAATGGTATTACAAAGAAAAAAGTCTTTGTCACTGAGACAAAGGATTGCATTCCCAGACACATTATATTTTTTGTTGCTAGATTTTTTTTTTTTTTCCATAGTGGTCTTAAATTAAACTGAAGCTATGATGCATAAATTGCTCAAGTTTCAATGTGACACAATGGAAGATGTAACATGGAGATGGAACAGTCTTGTCTCTGTGAATACCTGTGAACACTTAAGGCTGATGGAATCTCTGTTTTTTATGTGAAAGAAACTCTTTTACAGCACATAAATTAACTTCCTTGACATAGAGACATCTTGGGTAATGTTTTCAAAAGTACAACAACAATTTAAAATTACTTCTTAGAGTTTCTGGTTGAGGTTGGAGTAAGAGGCTATTTGTTCTGAATCCCTTGGACAAAACATCCTGCTCCTTACAGTAGTTTGCTACAGTATGTCTGCACCAATTATTTGCTGTTTTCTTACTCCTGAGACTTTTACACTGTCTGTAAACTATTGCTGAGTATGCCATTCCAGACCCTTGCAAAATATTATTTGTTTAGTGGCTACAGGATTGGTATCAGGTTTTAGAGTGCCAAAGGAGTTGTTAACAAAAGCAGGTGGTACTTGAATCTGTAGAAATAGTGAGCAATTTCTTCTTTTGGCTGAAGCAGAAGTTCTTGGAGCAGGCAAGAAAATGATTAGGTACTCAGTTTGAAAGAGAAGCATAAACATATTTGGTGACTACTGTACAGTGGACTTCTTCACCTGGAGGCAGGAGGCAGCTGGAGAGAGAGGCTGCTGATCCCCACAGTCCCAATTTTTCCCAGAGAGGCTAGAGAGGATCCTGACTTTGTGCAATACATCATTTTACCAAAAATATCACTCGCTGAACTTTTGCATCAGGTTCCTTAGAACCTTTCTTGCATTCCAACAATTCAGCTCCTATACCCAGCCCTGCTGTACAGGCTGCACACACACCACAGGAACACCTAGGGGTGTTACCATTTTACCAGCACTGCTGTAACACTCTTAAGGAACCTGCCAAGTCAAAAAATAAAACATGCAAGTTGTGCTGAATGGCCACTGTGCACTGCTGGCAGGATCAGTGTGAGACAGGACATGGGGCAGATCTCCTGGTGGAGGTGGATCAGGGGTTCCAGACCTTCCTTAGCATTTGGGGGTGCTCTATCATGAGAAGATGCATTCTCATCTCAGTGGGGGCTGCATCTCCTCCAGCCTTTGGGCCATCACGGGCAGTCAGTATTGTGAAGTATCCTAATTGAAGCGGGCTCCAGTGATGCACTGTCACATGGCAAAATCATTCTTCACATTCCGCTTCCAGCTACTCATAAAGCTGGCTGCTTACTTCAGTGTGCAAAGCTGTGTTGCTACAAAAAGCTCTAAATGCAAAGTTCATCCTCAGAGGAATTTAAAAAGAATAAACTTATCACATTCTTTGGGAAGAAAAAAAAAATAAAAGAAGGCAAGACAGCCTGGATAAAATTCACACGGACAACTCCTATCTGTGATTCATGTTAAATTGAAGAATCATGGGCAATGTTAAAATATTTGCATTCAAGTTCCTTTCATGCATATCCACCATGAACCCCACTTAGAAATACTTTTCTAATATTTTATAGGCATTGATTTTCCAAATAAATGGAAAATACCAGATTACCAAAGTCATCATATTTCCCAGGAACTTGCTGATTTCAATGAAGTCCCAGACAAAAGTAGGCAGGCTTTTGAAACAACATTGGCTTTGTGTTAGGTTTCTGCCTCGTATCCTTTCAGCTTGTCCATTGGGTCGGCTGGCCTCTGGCAGCCCACTCGGCAGGCTGACAGAGACTCAACAGCCTGAAAATCTGAGATCCCTTTGGCAACTTGGTCCAAGATTCCTAGGCTTCATTGGGCTAAATTCTGAATCCTTCTGGCATATAAATTCCCTGAGCCTTTTTCAGAGGCAGCCCAAGAGGCTTGGTGATCCCAATGTCCTTTTCCATAAGCTTCTTCCACCTGGTAAGCTGCCAGGTATTCTCTTGATAGATGAGAAAAATCCTTCAGAAACTTATGGAGATAGCCAAAGTTAAATCTCATGTTACCCTTTTAGAGAGGGAACTTTTGGAGTCTCTGATCCATATGAAATTTAGAAGCCTGACCTGTCATTTTACTCCATGTGAAAATGTATTTGGAAATATTTGCACTACTTAGAGAGGGAAGAATCAATGCTTTGGCCATCTGGAATAGTACACACTCACTGGAGATACAAAACAGAAAGAGACAGTCAATTTTCAACACCTTGATTTGAAAAGTATCCTTGAAAGCAAATTCTCCCTTCAATTACACCGAACACCAACCTTGGTGACCTCCATGTGTTTGCACACGTACAACACAGAGGTCAGAATCGGGCCTCCGGTGAATTTTGGTAAAAACAGCCTGCTTCTGTGCTGATGGTTTTGCTGAGAGAATCCATCAGGAGCTGCTGTCCCCTGTATGTTACCTGCTGCTGACAGGCTGATGCAGCTGTTCAGCTGGCCTGGGTGTGCAGGGACTCCTGTCAGCACAGGTGTCACCCCAGGCAGAAATGCAAACAAACAATGCTCAGAGTGGAGGGGACAAGTGAACCATGCCAAGAAGGGCATTCTGTTGACTCTTCATCTTCCTTTACTTTGCTGGCATATCAGAAACCTTAAGAAAATGTTAAGGAAGGGACTCCAGGGGAAGGGTATAGGCACACCTATACCAGCAAATGAAAAGGTGGAAGATGCCCAGGCTCCCTGGTCCTGCTATATAGCGCCAGGGCAGGAACTGCTGGCCTGATTCAAGTGTTGGAGTCAGCACTTGCAAAATGCCTCCAGGATCTGTACCCAGTCACCAGTACAGCCCAGCTCTGAGCCATGGTCAATAATGGAAAAGACATTCCACAGGATGCACCCAGACATTGGGGTCATATAAGTATCATCTGAATTACCAGGTTCCATTGAGGGAATCGGTTTAAGTAAAGCCAAGGAAAACTTCTCTCTCATCCCTCCCTTCAGATCACACTGAGCACAAATTTGAGTACTAAAGAAACAAGTTTCTTTGGCGGTTTTCTCCATTTTACTTTTGTACTAGAAAGAGTTTAAATGTCTACTGAGGCACTAGCATCTGTCTCTTATCATGTATAACTTTTCTTGATTATTTCTAGAGTGGCAGACTAAACATGCAGCTCTGACATAATGCAGCATCACATTTTTATTTCTGGTTTGTTCAAAAGACTGCACCAGCTGAAAAAGGTCTCTTAAAAGGACTATATTTATGACCTTGATCCAAGCTAACGAGAGGGTCCGGATAATTGGTGACTAAAAGGAAAACAGGCTATTAGACATTTTTCCTGATATCCTGATGCTCTAACAACAGGATAAGGTCTTTTGGTACCAATCACTATTATTCCCAATCTTTGTACTGGTTCCTTATTCTCCTAGTCTTAAAAGAGGCTTGTCAAGTGGATTTGGACTTACAGAACTTTCCCCCTCTTTTAGGAGAGCTGTAAAAGCCCAATCCCATTCAGGAGTCACCATTAAAAGTCTCAAAAGAAGAAAATGCCAGTTTTCTAAATATCAGCATGGTCTAGGTCATTTCCTGTCCTAAGGAATGGGGAGTGATTTTCTGGTCTGTTAAATTGCCATTGCTTTCCTGTCTTTGGAAGTTGTTTTCAGACTTTATAAGCTGCGGGTTCTTATAACATGAAAACTGTTGTGTAATTACAAAATTGGTGTTGTTAGCATGTTAATCCTGATTAAAACAAGGCTGCTAGCAAATTCCCTTAGTCCCAACAGACAAGCATGAAGGGAATAAATCTCCACAAGTGCTTGTTTGAAGAGGCAGCAGTAAATGTCTCCACAAACAGCAAACAGAACTCATTATAGGAATTCTCCTTCTCTGGCTGCATATTTGACTGGAGGATATTCTATTTTCAGCCATTGGCAATATCTTTTCTATGGCACAGGAAAGGCACATCCAACCAGTTTCTATTGCAAGAGGTCATCACAAGCCAGGGACTTTCCATAAACCTTGCTCATGAGCTCGTGTCATGAGTGTAGAAGTGTCATCTCCCAACCACCCATACACCTAACAGGATACAACTTTCTCCTTATCTCCTACAGCAGTGAAAAACCCAACATCTCCTGTCTTGGTGTAACTAATCTGGTCAGCCTCCTCCCACTACTCTCTGCCTGCTTTATGCCAATGGCTATGGAGCAGGCCTGAGCTATTTCTGTATTTGGAAACAACATTCTCATTCCCACTAATGTGCCTCTTTCAGCGCTGTTCTTGCAAGGACAAATTAGCACACACAATGTAAATAAGAACATTTTTCAAGTAATTGCAATCCAGTAGTCCAGATCCTATTTTCAGAGGCAAACGAACCTTAAGGATCCTCAAAGACATTTAAAATCTATGTCTAGAGTAGTATTTCCACACTTAAGGGGAGATAGGACACATAAGAACAAGTAAATTACCAAGATCCATAATACATTTGCTCAGCCATAAGTATCAATAGCTTTTGAGGTATAGCATCATCATAGAATCACAGGATGGTTTGGACTAGAATGGGCCTTAAAGATCATCCAATTCCAATCCCCTGCCATGGGCAGGGACGCTTTCCACTAGGCTAAGTTTTTGAAGTTCTACACAACCTGGTCTTGAACATTTCCAGAAATGGGGCAGCTAAAGCTTCTCTGGGTAACATGTTCTAGAATTTCTTCCTAAGATCTAATCTAAACCTACTGTTCTTCATTTTAAAGACATTCGTCCTTGTCCTGTCACTACCTGCCTTTGTCAAAAGCCCCTTTCCGTTTTTCTTGTAGGCCCCCTTTAGGTACTATAAGGCCACAATTAGGTCATACCAAAGCCATCTCTTTTCCAGGCTGAACAATCCAAATTCTCTCAGTCCTTCCTCACAGGAGAGGGGCTTCACCCCTATAATCATCCTGGCGTCCCTCTCCTGGACTTGCTCTAAAAACTCAGTGTCCTGCCTGTGCCTGGGACCCCAGAGCTGGATGCAGTGTTCCAGGCAGGGTCTTACAAGAGAAGAGGGGCAGAAACCCCTCCCTCGCTTTGCTGGACATGTTGCTTTGGATGCAATCCAGGACATCATTGGCTTTCTGAGCTGCAGGAGCACATTGCTGGGTTATGTCCAGCCTCATCCATCAGCATTCCCAAGTCCTCCTCAACAGGGCTGCTCGCCATCTGTTCACCCCCCAGCCTGTACAGACACTGCGAGTTGTCCCAACAGAGGCGCAGCACCTTGAACTTGGTCTTGTTAAACCTCATGAGAGTCCCAAGGACTCACTTTTTGAGCTTGTCCAGGTATCTTGGATTATCTAAGATCACTAAATAGAACTATGGATACGACACATACCTTAAGATCAGTATCCATCTGGACTGGTATGGAAACCAGGTAGGCTATCATCATGCATCTCAACAGCAGGAGAACCAAGGTTTGGCCAAGTTATTTGCTCCTTGAATGTCTTTGGACCTTAACTCTGTTAAAAATTTTACCTATATTCTCTTCAGCATTTGGAACAACTTCAGCAGTAAGGCAGGTCAGGAAATGCACTAAGTCATGTAGCATTTAGATTGTTCTGAAGTTGTTGACCCTCACACTCTGGTTACCCAGAAATCTAATGATTATAAAATAGGGCCACAATAGCTAAGGAAAAAAAAAAAAAAAAAAAAGACAGCTGTGAAAAAAGTTATGCAGTTATGCTGGTTAATCTTCAAAAAGACATACCAGATGAATCAGCCACTTGTGGCTTGGGAATGAAAGGAGAAAGTCCATTGCATCACTGGGCAGCTGGGGGTTTGGAGGGATGTTATCTTGGCAAGTAGTGTGAGTACATGCTACAGGCTATGTTCCAGAAAAAAAATGTGTCACTTTTCTTGAAAATGAGAATGATCTGCTCATTTGCATAATATGGCATGACTGTGTTGTTGACAGAACTAGAGTAAGGGAGTTCAGAGCCCAGGGCATGCTTCTCTTCCTGGTTTCTTTGCTCAGCATGGTTTCTTTGCGTCATGCTGGTGTTGTCCAGGCCCCATGATGAGGAAAGCATGACAGACTTTTAATCTAAGAGGACTAAAAATGCCTCTGAGAAGGGTGTGGACAGGTGGGAAGGAGAGCTACACTTAACCTTTCGATTCTGTCCCATGCCTCATAGGTTACAGAGGGATTGGGGCACTGGTACTGCAGGACCAGTGCTGACAGTGCTCGAGCAGCCAGGAAAGCGCCGAGAGGTCAGACAAGGCTGTGAGGGGTGTGAAAGAACACGTTACAGCAGTGGCTTGTGGTCTTTTCTTGCAGCTCTTCAGATTATTACAGTATAGTTGGGAGAATTTGTGGTCCGTGGTGACAGTCACAGTAGAAGCAGTGGGAGCATTCCAAAGCGAGGCCTGTTACATCAGTGCCTGCAATCCCAACAGGAACAGTTCCATGATGCTCTTGCTCCCTTTGCTCTCCCATGGTAAATGGCTTCTTGGGAGTGATGAAAGAAATACAGTCATTACAAACGTCTGATGCCAGATTCTCATCCCTCTGGGATTTCCATGAAGCCTACCCTGTAAGACTTCTCCCCATCAAAGTGAAGCAGTTTGCACAATCAGATTTTATGTCTTCCTGTGGTGTTTTTGGATTTCAACACCCAAGTCTCCTGTAATAATTACAGCTGAATATAATAGGTGGGACTAAGTGACAATCCTTAAAGCATAAGAAATCTGTCACTTGTGGTAGTTAATCCATGTCAGCCATGATTTTCTAAGTAACTGTCTGTCATATAGTCTTTTGAGTACCAAGGTCTCCCAAGTCATGGCCAACGCGTCCTCCCGCTAATCCATAAAATACAGCTGCACATCTAGTGAAAATCTGATGAGGTAATGCAAAGGCTTCTCTAAAATACCCTGGCTTGTTTAAATGGATGTATTCAGACATGGATTGCATAAATACAGAGACAGGAATCTCTTTGACCCGGGGCTATAAAATGTATTCACAAGAACTCAGCACCTTGAATCTGATTAGACATGTAATTATATTGTTATCCAAACTAATTTTATGTCTGCATTTAATTTGAACTACTGCACTTCTCAAAATTATATCAAGCCACTAGATTTTCATCAATAAAGGAATTTGCTATTATTAGATGCAGCAAGGTATCTCCTATGTACCAGAAAACTCACAGTGACGGCAGATCAATTCCTCCAGTACAGTTGTCTGTACAAAGCTTTAGTTTGAACATAAAAGCTATTTTAACACCAATTAATTACTCTATTGTAATATATATTGCAAGTATTACACATTCATAATACAATAGTTGTAATATATAATATCAGAGATGTATTAGAGTCTCATTAATACTTCTCTGATATTATAAACATTCTCTTCATAAGCAAGACACTCTATTGGAAAATATTTCCTCCCCTGTCTAAAAATCCTTTTTTTTTTTTTTTTTTAATTTCGAACGGTTGTATTGAATCAATAAGAAGAAATAAACGTTAGTAACTTTAGTGCATCACAGTAAGAATTCCGAGACTCATCGGGAAAGCTCACCCGCAGGCAAAACAAGCAGAGACAGCCGGCAGAGCGGCAGGAAGGGCACGGGCGGGACTTTAGGACACGACCGGAGGGGACGGGACGGGAACCTGCGGCCGCGGAGCCGCCCCCGCCCCGCGCCCCGCCTGGCGCGGAACCGCGGCGCCCCCGCGCGGGCGGCACGGGCACTGCAGCACGGAGCGACACACACGTGCATAAAGTGTTACGGGCTTCGGCCCGGGAAAACTTCCTACAAGCACATTCTTCGTAAATGAAATCGAAATTCCAGGACAATATATTCCTCCAGGTCGTGTTATTGCATGGTTTATTTCTTCGCTGAGTTCCAGTGTTAATAATGGCCTTGCCTTGTCATCTTCTTCAAAGGCAAAGTAGGTCAGAGAAATATAGAATGGTTTGGGTTGGAAGGGGCCTTAAACGTCATCGAGTTCCAGAACTCCTGCCGTGGGCAGGAGCATCTTCCACAAGACCAGGTTGCTCCAAGCCTGATCCAAGCTGGCCATGAACACTTCCAGGGATAGGGCATCCACAGCTTCTCTGGACAACTTGTATCAGTATTTCACCACCCTCACAATAAAGAATTCCCTCCTAACATCTAACCTAATATCTTCTCTTTTAGTTTAAAACCTCTCCCCCTTGTCCTATCACTATCTGTCCATATAAAGAATCATTCTTCATCTTTTTTTATAAGCTCTCCTTAAGTACTGAAAGGCCAACTCTTATTCAGAGATGAACTTGTAAACATAATGGCCATGTGATTTTTGCACTTTTCATTTCACAGATAGACAAATGCCCAAATTTTCAATGAATTTCCACACTACCTGGTACCCAGTTCAATATGCTGCTATGAAGTGAGTTTCAGACAGTAGAAGAAAGTAGAAAAAATATTCAAGAACAAATCTCTGGAAAGAAGAGAGAAGGGATATAAAGAGGAAGGGTGATGTACACAAAAATGGGGCTCCAGCTATATCCCAATGCTAGCAGAGAACTGCTGTTAGAATCTTCTCTCAGGTCTAAACTGAAACACAGACTGACTAGGAGTAACATTACACTGTCACATAAAAATTCTCATTTTAAAAAATAGTAGTGAAAGGAACTAAAGAGCCAGCAAAGCTGACCCTTCTATTCTATATTGCTTTACCATAACATTGTAGGTCTAGAGGTCAGATCTTTTCACAAATGGCAGCAGAATGGAGTTGGTAACATTAAACCATGTACAAAACTGCACAGAGGACTCCAAACTAGCTATCCTCAGAGTAGAAGAGAATTACGACTCAGTTTTAAGTCTTTTCCAGAGATCCAGTTTTCCTTGTCATTTGTAAAGATACCAGTTTGATTCAAACAGAAACAGTAAAGCTGTGCCTAGATAAGTCTCTAGCTAGACAAAGTTATCTTATTCTTAGTATATCTACACACATATAAATACATATATCATATACATATATCCTGGTCCATGACTGAATGGGAAACCATTACATGTCATTCCAACATATTTAAAGAACTGTGGCTGGGAAGTCACAGCTGAATGATTTTGGCTAATCACCAAGTGAGTAATGTCAAACACTGAATGTCTGGACAGTTTCCATTCAAATAACATTTCATCTTGGGCCAATAGTATTTATAAACCACTGGATGAAATCCCATACTGTCATTTATCCATTAGTAAGAGACAGCATTACAGCTGGTTAAGATGCAGCCTTACTTCTGCATAGAGGTCTCCCAGTTGTCCCAGTGGTACTAGCTCTTTCTGAGCCTCCCATGCCAGTTCAGGCTCACCTCTGTGCATTCTAGATGGTATTTATAAATTCAGAGAGGAATTCAGCAGGTATGTGGGTGTATATTCAGGTAATCTCTGACTGGTTCCCTGAAATTTAAGGTGTCATTTTACGTTTAAAGTTTTACTGTTTCAGAAACAATGAATGATAAAGGCAGATATTGGTCACCACTTGACATGTGTATCTAAACCTTCCATTGCTCTCCAATCCCAGGCAGTGGTGGTAAAGAATGGAGAAGCTGTAAAATATTCCCATAGATCTACACAAGAAGAAGACAGAGCATATTTTTACATCTTGATCTTGCTCCTTGCTTTCTGCTTTCTCTTAGCCTCCTCTAAATCTCTCTTCCTTTATCTGACCTGTACCCTGAAACTCCTTGGATGGTTATCTGTTCTCAGAACAAAGCCACTTCCCCTGCAGCTCCCTCATTGTGACATACTCCCACAGACCTCAGTGAGGCATCAAAAACCATTGTCTTTGGTTTTGAGGCAGGAATGGGCAAAATTGATAAAAATTTGTCACCCTCAACAGCAAGAGTTACTCCCAGGTTTCTGTAACTCTCTCTACACTGGTGTAGGAAAGCCTGGATTATCTCTGCTAAAATTTAAAAACAAAAAGTATTCTCTCTGTAACAAAAAAGGATAGATTACTTAACTAGTATCATTACTGAGATATCATAAAAGAGAGTTTATCCAGATGTTTTTCAATACTTGTCCAGAAATTTATCCATGTAAGAAGGTATAGGGGTCAGTATGACATTCTATCAAGAAAGCCTCCAGAGAAGTTGCCTTTGAAGATTTCATTTGGATTCATCTAACTACAGGTGAATTTCAGCTGCATAGCTCAGTGGTTACACACACACACACAATCTAATCTGTTTTAGGCTCGTGTGTAAGTACATGTTCAAGTCAATATCATTCCTGCACTGGTTTGTAAAGCTAAGAAACAGAATCATAGAATCACAGAAGTGTTTTGATTAGAAAGGATCTTTGAAGATCACCCCTGCCATGCGTAGCAACATCTTTCACTAGATCAGGTCGCTCAGAGCCCAATCCAGCCTGACCTTGAACAATTCTGGTGATGTGGTATCCACAGCTTCTGTGGACAGCCTGTTCCAGTACCACACCACACTCAGCATAAAATATTT